ATAAAGTTCAAAACTTTCCTCTTCATTTGGTTTGTTGCTTCATGGACCATTTTAGGGTTAAAAGTCCCAAAGGTGGAGACTTTATGAGTGTAATGTGCTCCATGGACCTAGATCTGTCCCATTTCAGTGGTATTTGTGTTATAGATCCATAAAGTTCCCATCTTGGTCGTGGATATGAGATCATGCTTGAGTATTGGGCTTTCTAGTGTTAGGAAATGGTATATTTTGGGTGTTAGTGACTTGTTCAGCCATGCAAAGGCTTAAAGTCATCGACTTTATGGATTAAGAGGCTTAAAAATGGTCAGATCTAAAAGTGGACGTGAGTCTTAACTGTTTAAGACCTCAAGAGCTAAGGGACTGAAACTGGGATTTACGCCGGGCGTAATCCCAGTACGCGCGGCGTACGGGGTGGCGTTCCCCGATTCTGAGAGACTGCCGGGTACGCCCAGCGTACACATCTGGTACGCGCAGCGTAACCCGGAGGGTTGACTTTTGGTTGACTTTTAGGGTTTGGTCTATAGTGGGGCCTTTGAGTTATGAGAGGGGTAAAATGGTCTTTTACCCTTCTGAGAGTACTAAGAGGAGGAATAGTCTAGCCTTGAGAGATGTATTGATTGAGAGTATTTATTTTACATGATTAGGCGGAGGCTAGACCTGATTTTACAGAGTTCGAGCTTTACCGAGTTACCCGAGGTGAGTCTTCTCACTATACTTTACCTAGAGTGGTAATTAGAGCTATGAGACAGAGTATGTTGTATGCTTTTGCATGATGTGATTTCTATGTGTTATATGCTATGTATGTTACAGAGTTTTCAGAGTTAGGACCGGAAGGTCCACAGAGTTAGGGCCAGAGGGCCCACAGAGTTATGGGACTGGAGGGTCCCACAGAGACACCTTGACCAGAGGGTCATCAGAGTTATAGCCTAGAGTGGCTAATATGTGTTGTGTGTAGTATTTTGGGGAACTCACTAAGCATTTATGCTTACAGTGTGGTGTTATGTGTCTCAGGTACCAGCGAGGATCGCGGGAAGGCGCCGGCTTGATCAGTACACACACGGGGAGATTTTTATTATGATCTTGGGATATGATGTTATGATTGACTATGTGATACAATGGTGTTTTTATAACGATTATGAATGAAAATGTGTTTTATAAAATGTGAAAAATTGTTTTGAAAATTTGTTTTGTGTTGTTATGAAAAGTATGCGATTTTAAAAATGAAAAATATGTTTGAAAAATTACGGTGTTACATTCAATCTCTAGAGTCTCTTTGATTACATATAACTTTAAAAGTCATCATAAATAAGTCTAAGACTTATTTCTCCACACTTAGAAGTAACTTTACAAAAAGACTCCTTGAGAGTGTCTCACAAATCTTTTTCAATGTTTAAGGTTGTACCAATGCATCATATACTTTGGGAAAAGCCTATACATTTCATACCAAAACCACCAGATCAACTCTTTATTTCACCTTACATACAACCTAGGAATATTCAAGTCATACCACATGTCGTATGGGATGTTCTTCACCTAGCAAGGTTCTACCATACCTATCGGTCATTACCAACTTTATAGTCCACGTCGTATGGTACGGGAAGGATCCAATACATGTCGTACCACATGTGTAGATGCATAAAATTGCACAAACACGAGGGTTTTTTATCCATTTCGAACTATCCTCCAATTAAGATCACTCGTAAAACCTATTCGGACAATTTTTCATATATATATATATATATATATATATATATATATATATATATATATATATACATATAATTTTATGAACGGCAAACACACACCTTTAATCTTACTAATTATATATATTTGTCCACGGACAAACTTGAATGGATACAAGGTATTAAAATCATTCTTCTAACATCATCACATTTATCAAATAACCTCAACAATCCCAAATATTCACGATTAATCTTGCTTTTCTTCATTTTCCAACTCCATTTAACAAAATCATATAAGTGGGTGAAAAAAATCATACATATGTGAGTTCAACAATGGATTAACCAATCCAAAAGAGTAAATCCAAAAATCCAAGAGTGTTTCCCTTTAGTTCTCACACAACCCACAATTCCATACAATTTCAACAATGGATTAAGTAATCATTTAGTTTAAGTGTTTATTCTCAAACTCATAATTAAATAAACTATACCATATTCACATATTAATAATAAGTTATATTGTGAACGGGGAAAACGATCTAAAAGGGTAATATAGTTCTCATTTTGTACACATTTAGTCCTTATTGTTTTTTCTTTTCTGGTAAAATAAGTCATTTAACTTGTTGTTTTGTAGACATTTAGTCTTTATGACCGACTATTCGAGGTTAAGTTCTCAGTTTATACATATTGAGTCCTTAATGTTTTTTACTTTCAACATAAGTCCTTGTTTTGTACACATTCAATCCTTGTGATCGGGTTTCTTTAGCTTTGCTCATGTGGCATCCTTCATGGGACAATCATTAATGATGTGTCCTATACGTTCCTCGTTCCTCACTTATATATGTAACCTAATTCATGAATCGGTCAAATAATGTTGGTGCCCTAATTTTCTCCAAGAAGAAGATGTATTCGACTTCAATTTCTTTTATATCAATAGCAGATAACGAGATTCTTTGTGATTGTTTTCTCCCAACTCGAATTTGCACTTCCAAGAAAAAAATAACATTCTGGAAAAAAAGTTTAGAGTCTTCCCTAATTCTTAGGTATGTCGATTTTGACCATTTTAAACAAATGAGTTTTTTGTTCTTTTCAAATTGACCTCGACTTTTGAAGATGAGCTTGCAACTGTTAAAGAGGAGGTTTCATGTATCAACCACCTTGAACCGCATAATACTAAAAACCCTAGAACAATTAGGGTTATGTCATGAGGACTAAGGAGAGACGTCGCGAACTTCTATTAATGTATTAATCACTAATAAATTAATCAACTAGATTGCCAATAAACTCTCATGTCAATAATTGCTTAAATTTGTCTTTGTGTATAACGCAGAAAGACTCTGCTATTAATAGTAATATTACCAACTGTTGTGAATGTGGACATAATACTAAAATCCTATAACAATTAGGGTTCTGTCATGAGGACTAAGGAGAGACGTCGCGAACTTATATTAATGTATTAATCACTAATAAATTAATAAACTAGATCGCCAATACTCTCATGTCAATAATTGCTTAAATTTGTTTTTGTGTATAACGTAGAAATTAATAATAATATTACCAACTGTTGTGAATTTGGACATAATTTCCAACAATTGAAATCATTATGAATACTGTATTTTATTCACTTGATGTAATGTAGTTGGTATTGCTATTGAATAAAGTTTGCATTTTGTATTAAATATAGTTGGTATTGTATTATAATCGTTACTAATATCAAAAGTACAATGATATTGCCAAAACCAAGACAAGTAACTCATGATTCCACCGCCCAGACGAGTCATATATGTGAACACATCATTAATGATTATCTCACACGCGAGCAAAACCTAAAGAAAGCTAACATAATGTCTGAATGTGTACAAAAACAACAAAGATTTATTTTGCAAAATAAAAAAATAATAAATAATAAATAATAAATAATAAATAATAAATAAAATAAAAACAAAACAAAATAAAACAAAACAAAACATGAGAGACTAAATGTGTACAACTAAAAACCTAACCTGAAGCAGTCCTAGTCCGGTAATAAGAACTGAATATATAATAAACAATAAGTTTAAGCGCTCATTTAAAAAATAAAAAAGACAATGAAAACTTAACGGGTACATAATGAGAACTATACCTTTTAGATCGTTTTCCCTTGTTTTTTTTTTTTTGGAAACGGCAAATATTATATATAAAAAAAAGTCACATGCTTAGCAAGTAGCTAAGAAACATGGACAAAGTACAAATACAATAACTATGCACGATTTAACAGAAAGTAAAAGGTGAGATACTCCAATCAACCCATCTACCACATAAGTTCGAACTCCTATGTTTAAACCACAAAAGGATTGGGAAATAATGTCATCTGCAGTTTTCGTAGGAGTGTTGTTCACCTTATTAAACACCTTGTTATTCCTCGCATTCCATACATGCCACAACAAACAATAGACGATTATTGTGACAGTTAGCCTTTTCTTAGGGTAATTACCCCCATGAAGCACCAAAGTTGAGAAATTCGTCCATGTTAAGAAATCATGTTAAAAGTGTATATACCATCCGAATTAAGATTGAACTTCAAACCCAGGGGGACTGGAATGGGTCTTATATTGTTGAGTATCGAACAAATCTCAATAAGTTCTGATAGCACAGCATCACCACGGGGTAAGGATTTCCATTTCCATGTGAAACTTGCATTCGCAACTCTTTCGGTTACATAACATTTTTTAACAGATTCCAACTCATACAAAAGTGGGAATTTGTTTTTATAAATGTCCGATCCACACCAAAGATCAAGCCAAAACAGAAGTTACGTATTTATGCCTGGGATTGGAGAGAATAAGGAATGACAGTCGGTATTGACTTCTTTAAGATTCTTAATTGCCTTGGCGATATTGCTCCACACACCTCTAATCGATTTGTTTGCCATATAATTGATTGGTTTTCTGAACAAGTTATGGATGCTCATGATACATTCTTTCCATATGCTCCTTGACTCGGTTTTGAGTCTCCAAAACCATTTAGTGAGAAGTGTTAGGTTTTGTGCCATTAAGGACCCAACGCCCAATCCTCCTCCTTTTTTATCCATTATTATCTTAGACCATGATACCTAATGAATTTTTTTCTTCGAGTCATCACCACCCCACAAGAACTTGCGCCTTAGTTTCTCAAGATCTTCAATCACACCATGAGGTGCCCTAAATAGAGAGAAATAATATGTGGGGAGACTGTTTAGTACCGACTTCACAAGTGTGAGACGTCCTGCAAATGACCGTGTTTTTGGCTTTCCATAATGATAATCTTGATTGAAAATTTTCCCTACCGGAACACCCAAATATAAGAATGGGAACGATCCTTTCAAGTAACCGAGAACCTTTGCTTGCTCTTCCGGTTCATCTTCAGTCACTCCAATTCCAAACAATCTTGACTTGTGATAATTGGCTTTCAGTCAAGAATGAAACAAAATCGCCAAAAAATTGTGTGACAGCCTATGAAAATCTTAGCATTACCGCAAATTATTATTAATGACCATTTTTGAAATTTTATTTTTATTTGTAGACAGATCTAGTTGAAGTAAGCGATTTCATCATGTCACCAACAATTTGTGGGAAAATAATTAGCATAATTATATGGTTTTACTTCAAAGTTGTCTTCGATAAAGAATAACTCCACAACCGATGTAAATATCTTAACTTGTGATTAAATAAAAAATACATTTGACAATATAGAAATGCCAATTTTGGTGTAATGGTGCATATCAGTCTCATGCCACTTCTAAATAATTGAAAAATAGTTTATTATTAATAAATATTTAGCGTTAAGAAAAATAGAAAGAAACATATAATATCAAATCAACTCTCAACAGATGTATCTAGTATAATCACCGACTTATATTGAAAAATGCATATATATTCATAAATTAAACAACGGTAGCTATATAAATAGCAATAATAACATATCTCATCTCACAAAAGAATCATCGGAATACAAAAGAAATATATATCATACAATAATGAATAATGATAAGAATGAAGCAGAAAATCAGTTTCTGAAGAGAGCGACGAGAGATAGAAGCATAGAGGATCCGATCACAACTCCAGAAATGGGGACAGAGAAAGCCGCTCCGGCGTCAGGAGAGGGTGCCGGCGCCATGGATTGAGCTGAGACGGTGGCTACCGCCGAGAGTGCGACGACGGCGAGAACTGAAGTTTTCTTCACAATGCTTGAAACTTGAGCCATTTCTTAGTATGAAGGTGTGTTAACTGTTATAGTGTTATGTGATTGTGAATAAAAATGTAAAGAAATATGAGATCTGAAGAGGGAGTTTGAAGAAACTGTAATGAGGTTATTGGGTTTTTATAGGGAAATATTAGAGTGAGAGACGTAAGCGCGTGGAAAATGTAATTCGAGTAACAACAGGCTAATTAGCTGTATTATTATATTAATTAATCTGCTTTTAGCGGGAGCAATCACATGGGTGCATGTCTATGGTAATCATGAGTCTCCAACGGTTGAATTTTTTATAGACGCGTACAGCTGTAGATACAGGTTGCAGTTGCAGATTTTCATATCTTTTTTTATTTTATTTTTAACTTTCCGTTGGATTTTTAAATCAAGTTTTTCGCAGTATCTGTTGTTATTAGATGCGATAAAAAGGCCGAGTTTTGACTTTTATAGTATTTGAAAATGGATTGGTTTTAGTTGGGTTAGTCGACTACTATTTTAATATTTTTAAGAAATTGATTTATTATTATGTTACTATTCAAATGTTCAACGGAAAGATTCATGAAATTGTATATTGTAAGGTTTTTACTTTTTAGTATATCTAAACTCGTTCGACTAGTTTTATTTTTAGATATATTTTTTTTAATTATCAGTTTGTTATAGATGAAATATATAATGTAGTCGACTCATTTATAAGCAAACTGATCAAAATTAATACCTACTGTAATAGTTAAACTAAGGATATTCTCGTATTATTAGGATTAATGTTTAAAAACAATTTAGATTCTATATTACTATAACATAGTTTGTAGTTCAAATTATTGTCCAAATTTTGAATTTGGTCATAAAGGTTTGAAAATTTTTAAAAATAAAATTAACTTTATTTAAAGAAAAGTTTCATCTAACTTGATTATAAAGTTGTTGTTAACTTTGCACCCATCGGAAATGAGCTACAATCAAGATTTGTGATCAACTTTCTCTGTTATTACTAAAAATACATTCGTTTAAGTAATTTTAGATTTTTGTATACAACTTAAAATTTATAACTTATACTATTTTTTATCCTAACTTAAAGATGAAGATATTTAACAAACTTTAATAATTTAACAAGCTTTAATATTTTCCCGTTGAACACGTCAGTCAAAACGTGCCGTGTCGTATTCGGCAAACGTATATAGCAATCTATGGTCAAAAAGGACACATGTCAACAAACTACTTGATTAGCAAAATCGACCGTTAGAAGTCGGTCATTATTTTCATCGCCGGTTTCTTTTTTTTTTCTTTTTTTTTCCAGTTCACATTTTAAAAATGGTATATTAGGTGACCAATGTCCAGAACAAATAATGCTGTGGCAGTTCTAAACAAAATATAAAATATAAATATAAAATAAATAATGCTGTCACTTTAACGTCTCCTTCAATCCCAAATTCCCATCCCCTTCTTCTTCCAGTAGTATAAATAAATACAACAAATTCCCCAATATCATCACCATCAAACAAACCCTAATTCTCTCATCCTTCTACACTGCTCTCTCTGCTATTTTTCTCTCAATCAATTTCTTTTGCTCGAAGAAAAATGGCTCAGCTTAGCATTGTGAAGAAGGCATCAGTTCTCGTTGTGGTGGCACTTTCCGCCGTAGCAACCGTGTCAGCTCAGGCGATGGCTCCGGCACCTTCTCCTGACGCCGGAGCGGCATTCTCTATTCCGGCTTCAGGTGTTATGATCGGGACCTCTCTTGTTCTCTCCTTCGTCGCTCTTCTCAGAAACTGATTTTGTTTTTCTGGATGGATTGATTGCGTCTATTATTTATCTATATACAGAGTTATCGTCATTACATTATTATTCAATGTATGTATTGGATTAATTCTTTATGTCATCTTGTATTACTGTATGAATTGAGGCTATGTTATATAAGAAGATGAATTTCTTTTAAGTTTTTTCTGTGAATTGAATTATTTTGTTGCTATTGGATTTTACGATTGAAAACCGTGTGAGTTTTAACAAGTCTTGAACTCTGGCCAAAAAGGCGCAAAAGATAAAATTGCTCTAACCAACACAAGGAAACATCAAACAAGTTAAGGAGTGATCTTATTGGAATTTTTTTTATTAAGTATAATGACTAACACACAAAAAAATTAATTACTTGGATTAGAAAAACAATGATCTAGCACAATATCAGTTATTTCCGCAATCTCGGTAATTCATATTATTTAGTTCTCTGCTCCAATTTCTCTTGATATATTCATGTGAAAAATACAAACTAACCTACTGTTACTTTAACCATTTTCCAAGAAATAAACAAAGGGATCTGATATTAATACCCCTGATTTTATCTTCATACCTCAGCAATTATTATTTTTTAGGTAGCTGATTTTTTTCAATTACAGCTTTTTTAGAATTTCATAGTTATTAACCAATAACTATACACTGTTTCATAGTAATTTAAACCTTTTTTTTATGGAAGACTGCACCTTCATCTTTGTGAAGTGTGTTCAATTTTTCGTAAATTAAAACAATTTATAAACTACAACCAACAATTACATAGTAAATTGAAGAACATTTTTCCAGTTAATCAAACAATAATACATGATATATATTTTTTTTTGGAACATGCAAGATAATACATGATACATGTATATAAACAAGTAAAATAAAAATAATTAAGTAATAATCACAAATAATAAACAAATCTGTTAAAATCTAATAACTTCCGGGAAACATTATCTTCGACCATCGTCGGCGATATACTGTCACCATTAACATTGTCGACGTCGTCGGAGAAGAGAGGAGGAACGTGAAAAAGAAAATATCAACTGAAAAGAACGAGAGGAATATTTCATATTTTGTAGATTATTCAATTTTTTCTTATATCAGAAAGTGGCATCCTATTGAGGCACATTGCGCCAATATTCAGTGGGGTGTAGGGTTGTTCACTATTTGGTTCGGACAATCGGATTTTTGGATTGGTTTTCAACAAAACCGAATTATTATTTTTGATTTCGGATTTGTTTTGGTTTATAAAATAAGAACCGAATAGTCCAAAAAAACTGAATAACAATTTATTATTTATTTATTTTTAATAAATCTATAATTATTAATTAATTTTGTAATATATTTTTTCATATAGGTTTATTAAAGGTTTCACCTAATACAAAACATATATATGTATTTTCTTTCAAATGTTTTTTATCAATAAAACATTGAACATTGAACTATAATATATGTTCTTATTAGTTGTTTATAAATTTTAATCACAACTAAATAATTTGATTTTGCTTAAAATTAGGTGATATTATAATTATATGTCGTTTTAAAATGTTTCAGTTTTTAAAAACCGAATTATAAAAACGGATCCAACCGAATTGCAATTGGATTGGATTGGATTGGACTTGAATTTAGTTTGGACTATTCGGATCAATGTTTTGAAAACCGAAATCTATTCTGATTCACTTGATTGGTTCGGATCAAACCGATCCATCCAAACGAACACCCCTAATAGGGTGAGCAACAACAACTAATGCCACAGATACTTTTAAACAAAAAGCTTTTAATCCAAATGCTACTTTAAATGGATTTTGAGAGCTTTTAACTTGTATATTTAAAGTCATTTTACATATTTCAACATACAACTATTTTTGTCAAAACACTACAAAATATACAAGCTTCCAGCCAACGTATAACATACCCAAAATGTAAGAAATGGTATGAAAATAAAATATGATACAAGGTTTAGTAAAAAAGTAGAATATAACCTAAAATTTGTGTATAATCAGTGGTTTTTCTGCCAAAGACAAATAGATAAATTTAACCATATTTTCATAAAAGTAAATGATGTTTGTTTAACCAAATATGGTTCAAAGAACAACAAGGTCACCATATAGCAGTTTGCAGTATTGACAATACAATTAGATTAATTATATTTCAACAAACTCCATCTCTTTTTATTTCAATTGGTTTTCTTGAAACCATGTCCAGGTCGATGAGATTTTTTTTTTTTTTGAACAGCTGAATTATTATATGATCGATGTGAATTCTAGCTTAGTATTAATGGAGTAAGCCAACTAAAATTAAAATGATCAAGTGGGTTAGTTGATTCAGGGTTATTGGGGAATATAAGATAGCTTGGAATCCTAGATTATGAGTAGCGATTTAGTTTTCTAAGTGTCTATTTAGTGAATTAGTAAATAATAAATTAATAAATGAAAATTTAAAAATGAAAATCAAATAGGCAAAATGGTCAATTTAAGTTGGGTATCGTAATAGTTAAAAACTAAGCATAAGGACACAAACCACAAGGACCATTTATATTATTCACTCTAACTTCATTGATGTAAAACAGTACAAAGTGACAATACATAAACATTAAAAGAGAACAAGAAACCTTTGTAACAAAACAAATCTACATAATGAAGAATCAATGAAACAAGTAAAAAGTCCACAATATTATGGACTAAAAACTATCTTGCAAATCACGAAAATGTCATTGAATTCCACATACACACTAGAGATCTTAAAACTTTACTTATAATGCTTAGAATTTCTATTACCGTTGTGTTTTTTCTAGCTCTTTCCTTGCAACTTCAAATTATTCTTCACTCGGTTGCCCTCCACCATATTTACTAACTAGAGATGAAAACAATGAGTCTATGTAGTAATAACAAATTAGTTTAATTAAGGAGAGTAGTAGTTTGAATTATATTAGGAGTCTTTTACTTGTTGTCTAAGTTTTACTTGTTGATCAAGACATCAAGTTTAGAAGCCTTATTTTTGGCATGTAAATTCCTTTCAGTTTTAATAAGAGCTTAATAATTAAGCAATACGCTTTCTTCCTTGCTTCAGTTTTTCTCCTTTGTTCGATCCTTGTTTCAGTTTTAAGCAAAGGTTTATCAAGTTAAACCCAACATTTTGTATAAAAGTGAATCTGGTGCGCAATGGCAAACAAAGAAGGATATGTTAACCTCTAATACCCAATGTTGTCAAAGACCAATTACGCAGCTTGGTCGATAAAGATGAAGATCTACATGCAGTCCTAAGAGGCGTGGGATGCCATCGAACCAAAGAACCCATAAAAGTTGGTAGGTGTGAAGAAAGACAAGATGACAATGGTTGCCATCTACCAAGCAATTCCAGAGGAAGTATTGTTGACAATATCGGAGAGGCAATCAGAAAGGAAGCTTGGGACACACTCAATTGATGTACTTGGGTGTAGATTAAATCAAAACAACCAAAGTTCAAACTCTCAAATCCGAATTTGAGATGTTGAGCATGAGCGAATCAGAGCTTGTGGATGACTTTTCTACGAAAATTGGAGGAATTATAAACAACATTCAAGATCTTGGCAAAACAATGGAAGAATCATATGTCGTAGAAAAGATGTTACGTGACGTACCTTTAAAGTTTGTTCAACTTGCATCCACGATTGTGCAATTTGGTGATCTCAATATTATGACCTTCGAAGTTATAGGAAGACTAAAATCTCATGAAATTCAAAGTAAGTTTCATAAAGAACCAGAGGAGAAAAAGCTTTTACTTACTCATGAAGAATGGTTAGAACGAGCCAAGAAGAAAAGCAATGGATATTGATCAAAGCAGCAATATAATAGTAATATATTAATCATCATAGTAGAAGAGGACGAGGTCGTGGTAGAGGCAATTACAAAACCTCCAATAAAGGAAGAGGTGGTGGAAACCAATCAAACAAAGGTAACAATAACTCGTGACAAATCCAAAGTTTAATGTTATAATTTTCAAGAGTTTGGCCATTATGATGATGAGTGCAAAAACCGACAATGTGAGAGGAATCACGAAGCCAACCTAACTCAAGAGCAAAACAATCACATGGAGGTGGAACCAATTAGTTGGTAGGGGTACCACCTGCGACCCCTCATTTTCTCCCCACGTGTATTGAAAAATTGATATATATATATATATATATATATATATATATATATATATATATATATATATTACAAAGTGTGCGCTTGATGGAATCAATTATACTTCTGTAGAGGACTAAATTTGTGTAGCATTCCGATGATGAGGTGTTTTCAATTTTAACCCTAAGTATGAAGAGTTATTGCATTTTAGCCCTTGTGCATGAGGAAGCTTGCAAAATGGCCACAAATCCTATTTTTTAGGGTTTGGACCCTATATAGACATCATTAACTCCATCACCAACCTCCAACCCTCATTTCGTCTATTGCAACCCTAATCCCTTGTGTGTGTTCCTTTGAGCTCAAAAGTGTGTATTTATGGTGTCTTACTGTCTTTGAAGAAAGGTGAAGAAAGAAGCATTAACTTGGAAGACCAAGACCTCATATATCCAGGAACACCTCACCTCCAAGCTTCATTTTGAGGTATAGAGTTCGGAACTTGATGATCCTATCATTAGATCTTGCTTATGTTCAAAGTTTATGCTTTTTAGCCCCATATTCTTGGTCATTTTGGGTATGAGCTACCCTAGACCCAATGAGTTGTCCTTTTGGACGTTTTAGGATAGTTAGAGTGATAAAAATATGATATTGACTCTTAGTTCTTCCCCATGCATGAGTTTAGTGGTCTTAATGGCTTAAGATGTTGGGATTTTTAGTGTTAAGCACTTATTGGCTATGCAAGACCATAAAGTTGGAAACTTTATAGTGCGGGTGGTGGGATGTCAAGTCCACCAAGCAAATTACACCCTTTGTTTGCAAATAAAACGTAATATAATGGTAAAAAGGGGTATCGATCCTCGGGGAAATGGTTGTATTCAATCACCAATGCAATCCAAT